GCCAGCCTGACGTGGACGATATTCAGCAGCGGTGCGCCATGAGGGCGGCCAAGCTTCGTGACGTCGAGGTCACAACTGGTATGTCGGTCAATATATCTAATTCCATTTTGCATTTTTCAAATGATGATATTGTTAAGAATGCAAATCAATTAGGTGTTTCATTGGGTAGTAATGACACTGAAATTTCTAATTCTGTTAATGATCTTTTAGACCTAGAGGCTGAGCGGGCCTTAGAGATGATCCGTAATATTGCGGCTGTCAAACCTATGAGTGATTCTGAGGTTGATGCGCTCGGGGTGAGGGTGTTAGATAACTTTTGTGTGGATCTTATGCAACCTACTACTGATGAGGATGTTCAGGCTGAGTCTACCGAGATAGTGTTGGCTAGCCCGTCTGAGACTAGTTGTGAGGACCAGTTGCAGAATCAAACGATCCCCAAGCGCAAGTGGAAACAGAAGGTCTACCCGGCTTCCGCAGCGCGTAGGAGTGCTAGGATACGTACGGCAAAAAAATTCCATGATAAAATATGAAAGGAATATTCTGGAATAGCAGAGGTCTAAAGGACTTGGCTAAAAGAAGGTTTCTTGCAGAGGCGTCTGTCGAGCATTGTTTAGATTTCATAGCTCTATTGGAGACGGGTAGAGATAACTTCGCACCTCAATTTCTAAATACTCTTTCGGGAGGTATAGATTTCGATTGGCATTGCTTGCCACCGAGAGGGAAGTCGGGTGGAATCCTTCTCGGAGTTAGGTGTGATGCGCTTGAGGTTCGCGGTGTGGTCGTGGGAGACTTTGCTGTCAAGTTTAGGGTGCGCTCGAAGGTTGATGGGTTTAATTGGGCTCTTGTCGCGGTGTATGGTGCTGCACAGCCCGAGCTCAAGCCTGAGTTCTTGGCTGATCTTGTTCGGATTTGTGGCTCCGAGCAGTTGCCCATCCTTGTGGGGGGTGATTTCAATGTTATAAGACGGCGTGAGGATAAGAACAATGATAATTTTGATGGACGATGGTTGTTCATGTTTAACACTATCATTGAAAGTCTGGACCTGAGAGAAATTGAGCTATCGGGTAGAAAGTTTACCTGGGCGAACGCGATGCCAAATCCAACGTATGAGAAGTTGGACCGAGTGTTGGCTAGCGTTGATTGGGAACAGAAGTTTCCCCTGGTGACTGTCCAGGCCTTGTCCCGTGGCATCTCTGACTATACGCCTTTACTTGTCGACTCTGGTGAACCCACACACCTGGGGAACAAAAATGTGTTCTCCTTTGAGATGGCTTGGTTTGAAAGAGATGGCTTCCTGGATCTTGTGGCCAGAGAGTGGGCTAAGGATTCAGGAGGGAGGACCGCGCTTCAGCGCTGGCAAAATAAGATTAGGCATTTGAGAAGTTTCTTACGTGGGTGGGCTAAGCATCTGAGCGGGATTTATAAGGCCGAAAAGGAAAAGCTCCTTGTCCTTATACAGTCTCTGGATGTAAAAGCGGAAACCACGATACTGCCGGTTGCGGAGCTTCATGCCAAGCTAGAGGCGGAATTGCGGCTCAAAGAACTTCTTAGAGAAGAAGAGTTGAAGTGGGCGTTGCGGGCCAAGGTCCGGCGTGTTGTCCAGGGGACGCGAACACACAATTCTTTCACATGATCGCTAACGGTAAGCATCGAAAGAAGAGGATCTTTCAGCTTGAGCAAGATGAGGGTACGATTGTAGGACAGGATAACCTAAAATTGTACATAAGCGAATACTATAAGCAGCTGTTTGGCCCTCCAGAAGAGAACTGTGTGTCTCTGGACGAGTCAAGGGTTGAGGATATTCCTCAGCTTACTTCGGTGGAGAATGATATTCTGGCGGCTCCTTTCTCGGAGAATGAGGTGCTCGAGGCTATCTCGCAAATGAAGAATAACAAGGTGCCGGGACCTGATGGTTTCCCAGCGGAGTTTTATAAGAAGTGCTGACATATCATTAAAGGGGACTTGTTGCCCATGTTTAATGACTTGTTTGCTGGGAAGCTTCATCTATTTCAGCTAAATTTTGGAACGATTACCCTTCTTCCTAAGAAAACAGAGGCTGTGAAGATTGAGCAATTCAGGCCAATCTGTCTTCTTAATGTCAGTTTCAAAATTTTCACCAAGGTCGGGACCAATAGACTCACACAGATTGCGCATTCTGTTGTGCAGCCTACCCAATCTGCTTTCATGCCGGACAGGAATATCCTTGAGGGTGTAGTGGTCCTTCATGAAACGCTCCATGAAATCCACACGAAAAAACTGGATGGGGTTGTTTTCAAAGTGGATTTCGAAAAAGCGTACGACAAAGTCAAATGGCCATTCCTTCAGCAGGCCTTGCGCATGAAGGGTTTTGATGAGGCTTGGCGACGCCAGGTAGAATCCTTTACGCAAAAAGGGAGTGTTGGAATTAAAGTAAATGATGATATTGGGCACTATTTCCAGACACATAAAGGTCTGCGGCAAGGAGATCCAATGTCCCCTGTTTTGTTCAACATTGTGGTTGACATGTTGGCAATCCTAATTGGTCGGGCAAAGGAGGCCGGTCAGGTGGGAGGCTTAGTGCCCAACCTAGTTGATGGGGGGGTGTCCATCTTACAGTACGCTGATGATACTATCATCTTCATGGAGCATGACCTGGCAAAAGCGAGAAATATGAAGCTGGTGCTTTGCTTATTTGAACAATTGTCTGGGTTAAAGATTAACTTTCATAAAAACGAACTGTTCTGTTTTGGTAGAGCCAAGGAGGAACAGGAGGCTTATAGGCATTTGTTCGGATGTGAATTAGGAGCTTTACCTTTCACTTACTTAGGTATACCTATTCACCATCGTAAGCTTACAAACCGAGAGTGGAAATGCGTTGAGGATCGGTTTGAAAAGAAACTGAGTTGCTGGAAGGGCAAACTTATGTCGTATGGAGGCCGGTTAATTCTTATTAATTCGGTACTCACGAGTATGCCGATGTTCCTATTATCTTTCTTTGAGGTTCCAGTTGGGGTTAGGAAACGACTGGACTTCTACCGATCAAGATTTTTTTGGCAGAGTGATGAACTTAAGAGAAAGTATAGACTCGCCAAGTGGGATGTTATTTGTAGACCTAAGGACCAAGGGGGGTTGGGTATCGAAAATCTTGAGGTCAAGAACAGATGCCTGCTTAGTAAGTGGCTGTATAAGCTTTCGGGTCCGCCTGATGCAACTTGGACGCAGATTCTTCGTAACAAGTATCTGCAGTCCAAAACTTTGTCACAGGTGACAGTGAGACCAACTGATTCGCCGTTTTGGAAGGGGCTTATGAGAGTCAAGGTAACCTTCTTTAATAGAACAAAGTTTATTGTCGGTGATGGAAATGGCACACGGTTCTAGGAGGACACCTGACTGGGTGATACACCTTTAGCAATACAGTACCCAACCTTGTATCGAATTGTCCAGCGACGTGATGCGCTAGTTGCAATGGTTATGCAGTCCACTCCCCTTAATATTCAGTTTCGGCGGGTGCTTGTTGGTGAGAGATGGGAATCTTGGCTCCATCTGGTGCGTAGATTGATGGAAGTTCAGCTAGCGCAACAGCCCGATCAGCTAAGTTGGAAGCTTACTAGGAACGGACAATTTACTGTCAAGTCGATGTACACCGATGTCATCAATTCCACAGTCATTCCTAGTACCAGACATGTTTGGAAAGTAAAAGTGCCTTTGAAAATCAAAGTGTTTATGTGGTTTGTCCATAAACAGGTAATCTTAACAAAAGACAACTTGGTCAAGCGCAATTGGACTGGATCTACTAGGTGTAGCTTCTGTGACCAGGACGAGACCATTAAGCATCTCTTCCTTGATGTCCTTTGGCGAGAATTTTGTGGCGCACTGTGCAAATTGCTTTTAACATTACTCCTCCGAGTACGGTCAGGTCGTTATTTGGAACGTGGCTGGATGGGATAGAGTCCGAAACAGCTAGACATATTCGTGTAGGAGTGTATGCGTTGTTATGGGCAGTTTGGAACTGTAGAAATGATTTGGTCTTTAACAGAATAACTACTATTCATTTTTTGCAGGTTTTATTCCGTGCTACGGCGCTGATCCGTATGTGGTCCTTACTCACTCCGACGGAGGCCAGAGAGCGTTTGGTTACTGGATCTGTCCGGTGGGAGATGGTAGCGCGGGATATCTTCAACCGGTTTGGTTGGCAGTCATGTAATAGGATAGGCTATTAGTGCTCCTATCTTTTCTTTTACCGGCCGGTTGTGGCCATTGTGGTTTATCTTGGTTTAGCTGCGATGCTCTTGGTGAGCTCGCCTTTATGTTGTTGAAGACTTAACGACTTTGTTGAACCTATTGTTATTTATTGAGGTGGCTGTATGCATCTTTCTGATGCAGAGGCCGGAGAGTTCTCCCTTTTCGAAAAAAAAAGAGAATACAAGATATTTTTTAGGATAGCAACGAGTCCCATCTCAGAATCAGGAGCAGCCTGCAGAAAGGTAGTGGATATGTGCGCGACAGATAGATAGATACGGCGTAGATAGATAGGTGCCTTGCACGAACCATACGCATGGCATCTTCTTCTTTTGTGTTGATGATTGACATAACCCGTATTCTCTCTGTCGTGGCAGCATGAAACTTAATTGGCTCAAAGAAAAAGGCTAAAGAGCCCAGCATAGATGGATATATAGATCGTCTACACTCTACAAAATAAGCCCGGCTAGCTACTTGCTCTAGAGCTAGCAAAGGACAAAGGAAGGAGATCCATCTCTCTAATTGATTCGTTCTAGGTGCTTGCTTAGTTTCACTAGCAGACTACTCTACCTTTGATGTTTCTTCATGGCTATTCTTCTCTAAAACATGTGACCTCCTCGGTTTTAGTTCAAGGCAACCCTCTGCCTTCTTGTTTGCAAGCAACCTTCTTTTTTTCGCTCTATAGCGTTTGCGAGTATCTAGTGAGTGTGAATTGATTAGTATACAGAGGACTAATTTTATTTGACGCGCACGTTTTCAGGTGCAGCTCGAGCAAGCAAACCATGCAACCCATGGAGGGGGTTCTGGTTGCTCTGGCATCCTACGGCGCCACCATGCTCACCGAGATGGCCAAAGATAAGGTGGCCATGCTAACCAGGGTCTCTGGCGAGATCGACGACCCTGGCACCAAGCTCAGGGACCTTAAGAACATCCTTGCCGATGCTAATAGGAGGAATATCACCAACGAGAGCATGCGGGCGTGGGTGGAGGAACTGAAGCGTGCCGTGCACGACGTCGTCACTGACATCCTCGACCGGTGTCGGCTCAAGGTCATGGAATAGGATCCATCCAAGGGCATGCTGTTTAATTTGCACGATGAATCCCCTGCACGCATCACCAAATTTGTAGGAAGTGAACCACTCCTTGTTAGGCGATGTAAGAGCATCTACAACCACACATAGCAAATTTGAGT